TGTGAAGAAGCACGGCGCTCCTCCGGCTCGGCGGCGGCGGAGAAGACTCACTAGAGTTTATTAAAACAGTTAAAAAACTCTGGAGGGAATATCTCTGCGTAAGGTAACAGCTGATGGAAAAAGGAGAAACAGTTACGCGAATGCTTTTTGTTGCAGCCTAAATCGGCTCTGGACGTTGTTTCTTTTCTCCAAGACGTCCCCCTTCTTGATGGTTTGAAAAACGAAACTCTCTCTTTATTTTTTGAATAGGAGATTTTACAGAGTTTATGGCAGCGGTCCAAGACCTTTCAACCTGTCGCAATCAAGCTACAAATCTACTTGCCAGAGGTAAGATTTATTTATAATTGAACCAGAAATATTTCTGGAACTTGTCCCTTTCTTCTCTTAAGTCAGTGAACCAAAACGTTGTTTGTGAGAGTAAAAATACAATCTTGAACTCTAGGTTTGTTGAGAAATTCAACGAACTGAAAGAAGAAGGAAAAATTGAAGAGGAAAAATTGTTTGAAGAAACAGGAAAAGCCCTTTTAGCCAGTGGGATAATTTTACAGAGAAGAGGAACAGATAAAGTAAGTATTGAGTATTCACAGAGTTACTTGGCCGGTGGATTCAGAAAACTTCACTTCCAGGCCCTTAATGTTGTATTAGTCCAAACTAAATGCTCAGCAAGACAGTCACCTACCTGACGGTCGTAGTAAATATCTTTGTTGTGCAGAGTAAACTTTTCTCTTAGTCGTGAACACGACTGGCCAAGGTAAAGGTACTTCTTGTGGGACAGAAAAAGAGATCTGCCTGGTTTGGTGATGAAAGATTTAAGTCTTTAGTGCTTTCAGATCATCCGTCGGTGTGTCCGTAGCAACCACTCGGAGATACGTGTACGTGTTACCGTATAGATGTTATCTCTATAAGGTAGCAGGGGGTAAACATCTTCTCGTTCGAAAATAACTAATGCTTTTCCATCCCTTTTTAATAGCGAAGTAGTCTAATGCACTCTCACCCTTGTTCTTTAATCCCGAGCCTGAACTGGAAAATTTTTGCATAAATCTTGCAGGGTTTTCTTGTTGGTTTGTTTGTTTGTTTGTTTTCCATAAAGTTTTGTAGTCTGGGGGTTGTTTACGTATATTTTTGCCAAGAAAATAACTGTCCAAAACAACTGTCCAAAGTGTCCTGCCGCTGCTTTTTGTTTTCCCTGACGTACGAGAGGGGGAAATGGCTCCTGGGCACGTGGAGTCTACTTCCTCGTTACTTCAGGCAATTGTCATGTGACTCAACAAAAACTGGGGTAAAAAGTCCAACTGAAGATGAACTTCTAGAGCAGGACGTCAGGTAGATTATAGCATGGCTGCTCTGTGATGGTTAGAAATCTTTTACCTTGTTCACGGCTAACTGATTACCATTTCTTCTGAGAATGCCATCCTTTTAGTTGAACGCCCTCAAAAAGAACGGAGAAGAGCTGTTCATAAAAGCTGCAGTTTTAAACTGTTAGCTAAATTAATTTATTATTCTCTTCTGTAATATGCTCTCCCTTCTCCTCATTATCCAGTGATCTCTGGCCCGAGCGTCCGTAGTGCTTTCCCCAATAAAAGAGGCTGAAGAGGAACAGAAATTGGTTCCGCTTAAAGTGCGCTGTCCGATGAGCATGTCAAAAGATGAAATCACTGACTGACTTTCATCTTTTAGCTTGAGGTCAGCAGTCTCATTTTAAATTTCTTGCCCTGGTGATACCTTGGCATTGTATTGTACCTTCACAATAATCTAGGTATGAATTGGAGCTTTTCTCTCAGCTTTTTTTGGACATACAGACCGGGGCTGTTGCTTTCTGTTGCCCTCTTCAGTCACGCTTTCACAGAAACTGCGTACGACCCTGTTTGCTGGTGATGGTCTGTCTTTAACCGTAGGCAGCACAACAGGATCATCAGGACGTTGAAACCAGGGATTCTGTGTTACACCTGCAGCTCCAAACTGTGCTGGAAGAGATACGGGAAAAGAAAAAAGATGGGGAGGAGCAGACGCCAGAGTTGGCGGAAACGCAGAAGGAAGGTCCCTTACCCTCCTGAGAGCCGCGCTGCTGTCCCGTAACGCCCGGCTGTGCCCTGGCCCTGGCAATCCCCTGCTCGGGGGCCGGCATTTCTGCCTCCACGATCTCATGGTTCTGAGGTGTTTTCTCGGGGGGGAATATGCCCCGGTTTTCTGGCTCTGGTGCCTTCCGTGATCGTGTGTGGGGCACGCACTCTCGTTCTTCCATCTCCCCATTTGTAAAATTGGAGATAGTCCCCTTTTTTGAGGTGCAAGAATGTCATCTCAAATTGTGAGTTGGAAAATATGAGCATAAAAGTGGAAAATTAAACATTTTCTTTAAAAATTGGAAGTTCTGTCTCTTCAGGTGTCTTATTTCCGGTAGTAAAGATGTTCCTTAACTTCTCGCACCGGACGGTACGGGCCCTGTGACGGTCCTGCTGTTGCAACGGCAGATGCCGCTTGCCTGACGCGTTGTAACAGCCATCGGAAGTGTCGTCGTCTTAGAGCTAATTGAGAAGAGTTGCTGTTTTACATAAACGTAATAACGCGCTCTTCCTGTTCCATCATTTGCTTAAATTCAGAACGGGATGACGTGTAGCAATACCAGGTAATTTGGGCCTTGGCAGTTTTTTAGTGACTCTTAATGCAATTGCTCACCTCAGAAGTGTGAAACATGCAGTGTTACAGCCGTTTGCTGAAGAGAAAGCTGCGTGCTGTTACAGAAATAGTCACGGAAGCTTTGGCATAGAGCAACGTAAGAAAACAACAATCAGTCTTACCAGGGTTTGGAGCCGATCAGAATTTCATTCTTCCTGTGCCTGCAAGCTCCAGGGCCTAGCTTATTTTTTATTAAAGAATTTTGGCTTTGGGCTACATGAAAAACAATTGCTTTTTTTTTTTTTTCCTTTGTTTGTTTGTGTTTTCTCCTTTTTTGTTTGCATTTTCTCCTTTTTTTGTCTGTTTTTTCTTTTTTTAAAACAAACTGCCGCCACCACAAGCAAACAGGTGTAAATCACGTCACGTCTCTTCTCTCCCTCCCTCCCTGGCTCTCCCCTACAAGGAAAAGGGGGGGATTTTCCTTTCGGTTTCGTACCTGCCTCCCAGACGCGTTCTCCGCAACGCGATTTGGTGACGCTGCTGCTGCGTGTGACGCAAGAAAACTCTCTTACGAATCTGTGTTGTAGGGCAGTAAAAAGGAGGCTGTAAAAATGCCCGTGGTTTGTTTTTGTGTGGCTTGATTCGCCTCCTGGGAGCGGTGTAATCACAGCAGAATTACACAGTTATCCTTGGCAGGTCAAACTTTATTCCTAATTCCGCTCTGTAATTCTAGAGGAGCGCAAGATTTTCTTGCAAAGAGCAAAAAGCCCCCTGTCCTAGCGCTGCCGTAGCTGTAAGCTCTGGAGGATCCGTTTCCGGAGCCGACCGTGGTGGCACGTATCCCTGCCTCGGCGAGGTTCTTCCACGTGGGGCAGGAATTGCCGCCTGACTCACGGCGGCCCCTTACCGAGGTGAATGCAACGGACGCGCCCACCTCCAGGATCCAAGTTTCGGAACCGCTGCGCTGGGTCAAGAGTAGGAGAAACGTTAATGTAAACAGATGACAAAAATCCGTTAATATGGGGTTCGGTCCGAAACAGCGCTGGAGAGGAGACCCGTACTGGGAGTAAATCGTAGCGAGGCCTCCGCTCGTCTGCAGCCAGCCTTCGGATGGGGCTTTCCCCCAGTCACGGCAGTCTCCCGTCTGGCTGAGGACCGGGGCGAGCTGCCCTCCTCAGGAAATCTCCGGCAGCTGGGATGTGAATTCCCCTCCTCGTGCCCGGTTTTCTTGCTTGGGCCAAACGATTATCGCCAGCCCGAGGGAAGAGAGACCAACCGCTCCGCGTCTCCTACGCTGCAGCTCGTGTCTTTGCCTTTCGTGGGTTTTTACAGAGGTAAGAATTTTATTTTCAGCATCCCGTTTTGCATTTTTAGCTGTTGATGATGCTCTTAGCTTGCCAAAAATTGCAAATGGAAGTACTTCAAAAGGAGAAGTGCTACGAAGTTGGATGCAATAACACATGAGAGATTTCTCACTCCCTTCATTCACAGCTCGGTGGTCTCCTGTTTGTTGTCACTTCTCTAAAAAACTGCCAATATTACTTCAAGAGCTTTTTCCTCTATCATCTGCTGTAACTAGCTTCATCCTTGCATCTTGACTGAGCTTGGCTGGGTCTTCCTTTAGTCATCTGAAGCATATTGAGCGATAACGTATTAAATTCAGAACACAGGCTAGAGCAGCAGCCTCGCAGTGTGCCCTGAGTGAGTTCCTGTGCAGAGCAGACAAGAAGAAAGTTGGAATTAATTTTCTCTTTTCTTTTTGTGTTGGGAAAAGTCCCTGGGGCGGCTCCCCCGGGCAGAGCACTCCCAGCCAGACCAGCCGTTCTGCAACGGGCTCGGCTGGGGAGCGGCCGGATTCACCCTCACGTGCAGCTGTGGCCTGAGGGGTTGGGAGTAAGAGACCCCTCATGGTTTTTTCTTCCCCTTCTACATCTGAAACGATGGCGACTGTCCGGCTTCTTAACCGTCGGTTTTCCTGCTCACAGGCGAGAGGTTCATTGCAGCTTGCCCGCCTGCGCACAGCCCAAACCTGGCATGCCCGGTAAGCCAAACTGACTTAGAAAGCGCAAAGAAACTCGGCTCCGTGCAGCAGGGGTGTAACCTGCCCGTCGGACGGGAGGGTGTAGTTGTGCTCCACACTTTGCTGCGCTCCCGTGTAAAGCAGTTGTGTATTTCCACTGGCACGTGCATGCTATTATTCTGAAGCAGGTACGTGGCCAAATCAGCAGGCAAACCTGGAAATAAGTAAAGGAGGACGCGAGTTCAGTGTGG